AACCAGACTGAGACCACCTCTTCAAGAAGGTCTCAGTCCGGTTGTTTTGGTGTGTTCACACCTGCCCAAACAAACCGCACTGAGGGGGCAAACCAACTTGAGTTTGACTGAATTGAACCAAACAGGGCAGGTGTGAAAAGTGCCTTCAGTGCATCAGATACATCAAAACATTGTTTTCTAGTTGGAGCCGCGCCTCGTTTTCAAACTGTATGGTTTGACTAAAATGGACAATGACAGCAATATAGTCCACGATGAGCAGCGCTAAAATCAACCTGCGTAGTTGTCCCTCCATTGTGACATTAGAAAGTGTCACATTTATCTTGCAAGTGTACTCTTCTTCAACGTTTGCTTTACTTCCTGGATTTTTCCCACATGGAAATTCTGACCAATCAAGAGCAGCTTTCTCACACAAGGCATTTGATCTGGTCCTCTTGTAAATGCTGCCGTGAGAACACGAACCAACTCTAGGCAATTAAACAACTTTGGAACAACATGAGTCCCTGATTCAGACCAAAGGAGACCACTCTAGGGCTGAGAGCAGCCTTACTGTCAATGGACAGGCTCTGATCTCTCTCTCTCTCTCTGTTTGTCTCATAGCCTCAGAACTGTCAGTCCATCATCACACATTCTGCTGATAGAGACAGTCATTGCTGTGCTGCTGGGGAGGAAAAGCACCTTTAAGGACCCTGCTCACAACATCGCCGCTGTATATTTTTGATGCAACACAGCTGTGGGATGTAAGTATGTGGGTGCCAGAAGGACCAGCTCTACACTCCTGGTAAAAGGACTGAAGGGGTGATTAACCCAGAGTGAGAGTAAACAAGCTGCAGCATGCCAGTCCTCTCAGCTGCTCTTCAGTCTCTAATCAAGATGGAGTATTGCCCTGGCAGCAAGTCAAAGGGAAATGAAGTGCAACAGGAATGTATGGAGTCACACTGACTGAGCTACTTGTTGTGACTAACTCCTGAAGAATTTGAGTCTCTCCTGTGACAAGTTTGTTTCTTTGCCATGCTTGCTTTCACTGACTGAACAGAGACACAGAGGAAGTTCCAGCAGAGAGACTTTAAATACAGGAGTTTGTCTGCCACGGACAACAAAGAGGGCATTAGGGTAAAACACTTAAATGAAATATTTAATGTCAAACCCAAATGGTCTAATTGGTATTATGAAGCTGTCCTCCACTAAAAGAGATCTACACAGGTCTTTGTACAGCTTATTATAACTTATATTTATATTCATTGTTAGGGCGACAACCTCCAGTGGCTGTAGTAATAATGACGGGAACAAAGGATTCCCTCGCCTACCGGCGAGCCATGTTAAAGTGCAAAAATATACCGCCCACTCCACTGGTTAGCTAATGTTAGCCACCCAGGTCGGATGGGAGCTAGCTAGCAGTGTCATTCATTTGGCTATTACTGCACGGTGGCACTCTCCAGTTCCCCCCACCGAGGTCGCCCCAGTGAATAGACAGCTTCATTTTGAGCTGCAAAACCCCTTTAGCATTGTTAACTATGTTAGCAACATTAGCTGTGTTGACACTGCTAACAGTGCTAACAGCAGCTAACAAAGCTAAAGGGGGTTTGCAGCTTAAAATTGAGCTGCTTACTCACTGGGGCGACCTCAGTTGAGACCAGAGGGTGGGCACAATGTTTCCACAGCAATGCTGTTAGCCTTAGCTGCTCTGCACTGCACACTACCTGGGTCTGGTGGGAGCTAGCTAGCAGTGCTGCTCATTCACGATTACCACTGGTAACGCCGTTCGAGTGGCTGGACAGCATTGCTGCAGAAACATGGTGCCACCTTCCAATTTCCCTCCAGGTAACTTCTGTTAGTAAGTGGTTTCATTTTGAACTGCAAACTCTTAGCATTGTTAGCTTCGTTAGCAGTGTTAGCATGGCTAGAGGTACTTAAACGGAGCTCATTATTCACAGGTGCGACCAGAGGTGAGAATGGAAGGCAGACAAAATATTTCCACAGCAATGGTTTTGGGGTGGGGCAGGATTAGAAGCGATAATAGCTGAATGATGAGCGGCACTGCTAGCTAGCTCCCACCAGATGTGGTTGGTATGCAGTGCAGTAAACTGAAGAGTAGCAAAGTTAACCTATAAACTGACATGTATAACCAGTCAAAAATATTCTTTGTGGTTAACGGATTAACGCTTAATTGTTAACATCTCTAATTGTGAAGCAAATTTTTGCCATGTGTTACTCGTCCATACGGCCGCTGGAGTGTTTTCTGGAGTATTTTGCAACTGGTGAATATTTACCCTCAACAGCTTAGCTAACTGTTGTGCTAACTAACAGGGGAAGGCAGCTAATGCTAACTTGCTAACTTGGTTCATAGGAGAAATCAATTGATGTGAACACAGCCAAAGATCAACTTAAATTAACGATACTCCAGGCATACTCCGCAAAACAGCTTTCACAAATATATTTAGAACTTATCATGTAGACGTACGGCTTCAAAACAAGTTTGTCCTCTGTTTTTTATTCTCTGTAATGTCAGGAGAATCTCTGCCAGATCTCAATGCTGATAGGCTTTCGTGACACAGCGTCACACAAATTTCTCACACGCAGTTGTATTTCAACATGCGTTACGTCATTCCTGTTTTGAGTGCACGTGCAAATTTGTGCCTATTCATGTGTTGAATTGATTTTGTATGTCAGGCATGTCCATTGTCTGGCCCTTGGCTTGACTTTCAGTTATACTATATGCCACCACACCTTATTGTTTGATTAACCAGTATTGGTTAATTAAACATTATCACTTTGCATTTTCTCCGTCATCAATCAATAGCAGGACTATGATACAGTTAGTAGACATGCATCAAGTAGGAAATGAGTTGGAGGATTTGTCGGTAAAGTTCTCACAGCTGTGTATAGCTGTTTAGTTGCTTCAACACTCATAAAATGTGACACCTGTTAAACTACTGGAACTATGTGTTTGTTATGACACATGATAAAACTATGATGTGACAAAAAGGCAACACTGGCAGCACCAACCAGGACAGGCAAGACCTGACTGGCCCGTCTTTATCTGACAGTATAGAGGGAGTCTATCAATGTGATAATAAAAAGTGTGCACGTCAAGTAAACTGCATGTGTTGTGAACAAAACAAACACCTGAGGCTTCTTAAGATTTTTAAATACCCAAGTTTTAGTTCCAGTTTTTTACTCAGTCATTTGCAGCTTTTTTGTAGCAAGTTGTTAAATGTGGGTTAGAAAGATGTTCATTTCTGTAGCAGTGACAAAGATCAGCAGATGAAGCTTTCCCAAAGAAGCTCTGGTATATTTTGGTAGCTCAGCTTGTTTTTTTCTCTTCTGCTAAAATGCTCTTCTGCTAAAAGCCAATTCCACAGCATCAAAACCAGTTTTTCATAAGCTGTGAAAACATAGAGATGTGAAAATGTATTTAAAACAATATTTTAGCTGCAGAGGTTCTCCCCACGTCAAGCTGCATATATAGAAATCCTAGAGTCTGTATTTAATATTGTAAATTCAGTAATGCATGCAGTACAGTCTGCTGACATGTTACAAATGGCTCTCAAACACATGCAGTCTAATATGAATTATGTACGTAACTGCATGTTGTGCCTTCTAAGAGCATTTCAGTGCCTAATCAGTCAGTTGATACCATAAAAATAACATTTCATAATCACAACATTATTTCATTTGTGTGAAGCCCATCTCATTATATTTGAATAACTTCAAACTTAGTCCTGCACTGCTTCTCTGCTGCTTTGTACAGCGTTTGTTCCATCCATGTTTGACCGCTCTGCGAGTCTGATGCTTTGCTTGTATATATTTTTTAAGCCATCCTTTTTATTTATGGTGCTTTAAAAAGAGCATCGTCACAATATGTGTGTGTGTATGATTGTGTTTTTATACACGTAGCTAGGAATAATGTACCTGTACAAACTGCCTAGTGTTGAATAATAATGTCCAGACTGAAGTGTGAGGAAGGTGAGGCTGAACTGCCCTGGAGGCAGAATTAATCTCATTGGTTGAGATGAATCTCAGTGGGTGGAGCCTATAGGTAATGAGTAACGTCACAAATTACTGATATAATTACTTTTTTTTCTGATTTTTTTTTTTTTTGTGGCCTTTTGCCTTTATTCAATCGGACAAATATAGCGCGAAAAGGGCAGAGAGGGGGGATGATGTGCTGAACCTGCAGCCGCTGTAGCAAGGACACATTCCCCACATATGGGGCGCCCACTCCACTAGATGAGCCAGTTGGCCACCCAGAATTACTTTATTTAAAAGTCACTTACATAAAAGTGTAAACAGACTTTTCAGCTTCTCCCTCTCTGGTGTTTCCAAGTGGTTTCAGTGTAAGCCCATTCGCAAAGATAACCTGAATGCTGTCTTTTTCCTGCAAAAAGATCGAGCAAATAATCTGACTAATATCTGGCTTTATATCAATATAAATAAATAAACCAATATAATATCAACAGTCACCTTTAAGAATTTCTGCAAAGAGTAGTATTCACCTAAATCAACAGGCCTATATTTGGGACAGGCCTTTAGTTCCTTTTATGCAAAAACTGTCAGCAAAGATCAGGAAATACAATCAAATTGTTTATTAACACCAGTATGAATATTGCATAAAAATTTGGCACCAGAAAATATATCAGCTATGAATCATTTATTTGGTCCAGCACATCCGAGAAAGAGAGAGTTACGGGACCTGGTGGACCGACACAACCCTACTTTATCCTGTTAAAACAATGGACTAAAGGAATAGAAATATCTCACAGGGTAATCAAGGAATGGACACATTATTTGAGGTAGCCAACAACCCAACAAGTTTTATACAACCGAAGAAGTTCTATGAAAAAAAAAAATGAACTGCTTAGCAACCAGACAAGGCCTCTGATTGAGACAGGCCTTTATTTGTCTAAATGTGTAGCCGTACTGGGCTTGTAAAAGGGACTGGGCGTTTAATTGGGACCAGGTTTTTAATTTAAGTTTTACAGTAGAGTCTGGATACGTGAGCAGACTATCCAAATAATGTCTATTAGGAAATTTGCGCTGATGTTTTCGAAGCTGCTGGCTGTGTGAGACCAGCTGGTTGGCATAATGTTACAAAAGAATATCAGCATTGTTTTTATCAATACTCTCACCACCAGCAAAAAAAAAAAAAAAAAAGTTTGAATTTTAATAGAGATGATGGTGATGTTGTAAAACTAGTCACTATAACTAATGTGAAAGCAGGCTTTGCTATTGCTAGTGAGGTGGCTAGCTGCGCCAAAGTCTTGGTGTTAGTGTTTAGCAACAAGCTAACGTGAGCTACAGTGAGCTGTATGGAGGCAGTAACAGTAGTGTGTAACACTTCTACTTGAAACCACAGATTTCTATGGCAAAGAAATTGGGATTCTGTAAAAAAATTAATTAAATTAGCACCCAGCAATTGGGTTGTTAGCTCAGTCTGTGGACAGTGAGTGCCATTAGCATTCGTGTCAAGAGATTTTGCTTTGGTTCCTTGTAGCGGAGACATCTACAGAGACAATCCAGAGTAATTGAAAGAGTCCTTTTATGTAACTTCAGGCCATTTTTGCATATCTTTGTACTGATGGCAGACGGATGTGGTACCGTCAAATCATCTGATCGCAGCAGTATAGCCGCTGAATGTTCCCAGATTCATTGTTTACAACGCCAAACTAGCGCAGCAAGCGTTAAACCTAAAGAACAACAACAACAAGAGGGGGAAAATATTGTCGCCCTAATATCAACCACAACAAACAAAACTGGAACTAAATTTCACGTTGCTGGATTTTCAACACGGCATCTTCAATGATGTCACGTACGTTAAACAAACGTCAGAACGACGTCAGACTTTCTAACACACTGTGACCTTTTGGTAACTGTGGAGAGCTACCAATAGTTAATACGAAAAAGCAAAGCGCAGTCCTCTTCCTGTTTTAGTCGCGCCATGGTTGGCACACAGTGACAACGAGGCTTATAGGAATGCAATTTAAATGCCAGTGATGTCATTGTTTTACAGCCATTACACTGCACAATCAACATGTACTTCATAATGACAAGTTAAAGTAAAGTTGTCCTGTTATCTTCTTCTCTGAGCCTCCATCCACTGAGGTTTACTTCCTCCCTTGTAGTTGTTCCAAGAGGCCAGCCCTGCGTATCAGCAGTCATGTTATTGGTTAATGTTTGGGAAAGGAAGACTGTAAAATATTTATCATGTTGGCACATATTTCAGTGATAAAATAAGGTGTGCTGCGTTATGATGTGAATAATAAACAGAACATCTGAACTATGTCTGGTCTCTGCTCGTGTCATTAAACTTTGAAATGTGTTCTTACCGATACGCACTATGGAGAATTGTTATGTACGGAAAGATACTGCTGCCACGCTAGAAAAAAAACAACATGAGGTAATAACATAAATGTTTGTTGTTAAAATAAAATGTTTTTTATGTTCAAGATATTTTCAAGTTATAACGAGAAACTTTTATTGTTATAACAATT